TTATGCTTTCTCATGCTTTTTGGGATCTTCTTTGCGCTTTCAAGTTTTCTGTTAGTTAGTTGGGCAATGCTCCTCTGACTGATGGCTCTGTCTCTTGACTGTTGGCTCTGTCGAAAATGTATTTCTGTCAATGTTGTGCGTTGTTTCTCGATTGATATATTCATGTTCATACTTATTTGAATCTGTTCTACATGCTCTTTCCTTTGATGATACGCGCTTTCTATCTCCTTCACACCATGAACAGTTTTTTTCTCGAGAATTCTCTTTTTGGTTCGGGCGATCAAAATGTTTTTTCCATTTTCGACTCTTCGTTTTCTTAGTGAGACGTACATGTTCATATTCGTTCGCTTCGGTTTTTCGTGCTATTCTCAAATATGGTACGCGCTCTCAGTTTCGTTGATCATGCGAAAAGTTTTTTTTCCGGAATCTTCTCCTGTTAGCGCGACCGAAACTTTTTTTCTGTCAAAGTTGAGCCTTGTTTCTGAATTGATATATACATGTTTGTACTCATTTTGATCAGCTCTTCTTTCTCTTTCCTATTATGGTACGCGCTTTCAGTTTCGTTCGTGTTTAGAAAAGTTTTTCTTTCGTTTTTGAACCGTTGGTGATAGAAACTGTCCTTACTAGGGAAGAGGAGGAAATGGTTTTCGCTGATGGGTAAGTTCATCTTCTTGTTTCTCCTTATATGGTTTGATTCTGTTATGTACGTGTTGTTGTTAATCATTTCGTTTTGAATAAATATTTTGAAATCAGAATGTCTTTGTGTTTGATATTGGGAAGAGGGAGGGGACCAGTGAGGACTTGGACTGATCCGAGCAGAACAAGGCGGACTATGATCTCAGTTATCTCATCATTAATTGATTGTCCATATATGGCATTGTTTGGGAGGAAAGTGTGGCAGGATAGCCGAGTGGTATACATGGGGATCTCACAGGAACATGGTTGGTTCGATTCCCGAGGAAACTTCTACTGGCCCGAAGAAANCTCGGAAGGGCTGTGGTGCTGAGCGTAAAAGAGTCTGGCAAAGGGCGGTTGGGTTTTACAAAATTTTGGAAAAAATTTAAAAAAAATTTGGCATAACCCCTCTCCTTTTTGAGCTTTTTGGGATCAAACTTACCTCCTTCTGCTTCTGCTACGGCTTCTGTCCAGTCTGGAATTTGTTTCTTCTTTCTATTTCACTGTGTCTCTGTGTTTCTGTTTTGATTTCAATGTCTCCAACAGTTATCAACCCCTGGTACCGAATGGTCTGATAGCCTC